AAAATTCCTCAATGGTTCTACAGCACCGCGGAAATGAAGTAGTGATAGAACAATTAGAAATTCTTTTCAAAGGTCCAGTATTCGTATTAAAAATTGGTAAAGGCTTCGCCCTAATAATCCCGGCTAGCGGAGCAAACTCAATGTGGCTGAATGACCCGAATGGGAGACTTGTCCTTGTTTTGTGCTGAACTTGCAGAAGTCATCCTCGAGTCGTATGACGTGTCCGACCCGCCTGCTCTCCCGATTCGGCCGCTGACGGAGGCCACGATCCCAGATTGCGTGCGGCGATATACAGGGGGGGGGCAAAAAAAGTCACTTCGACCGAGTTTTCGCAGCCCAGAGAGAGGACGTGGATACGAGTACCAGGGCGGAAGATACCCAAGATGTTCCTCGATAAGCAGGAGCTGGCCCTCGCCCATCACCTTCATGTACACCAAAATATGAAGTCATCTCCAGTCGCAGCCTGACTGGAGAAGACCTTTGGAATTCATGTCACCTCCAAACAGCTGCGAAACTTCTAGTATGGAGTCACCCATGGATAGCTACCTGGAGACCAGTACTCTCGATCTGGATGACCTCCAACATCGAGCAGCTCCGACAACGTCGCCACGGTCTAGGACATCATCTTCACCGCAGTCGCCAAGGCGCGGGTTGATGGTATGGACCGGACGCACCTGGAATGGAAAGACCAATATTTTCTTCGTGGACCCCGGGCTGAAGCTGAGCGCTGGCGGTTACATCGACCAACTCAAGAAGAATATCTTCCCCACATGTCGTCGCCCGTACCTTCTTGGAAACTTTGTACTGCTACAGCATTGGGTGCCACCACGTGGAATCGAAGGGCGTTGGAGAAACTCTCGCCTACCTGGAATGGAAGGGGGCTGAGTACCTAAAGAAGATGGAATATCCAAGTAGGTCACCTGACCTGAATCCCCTCAATTACCCGGTTCGGGCGGAGTTCAATAGGGTGGTCTACGGTGGCGGAGAAATCGACTATCTCGCTGATCTCAGGCACCACATCGCGGTCGCGTGCCAGAATCTCTCGATGGCGCTCCTCCAGAAGGCTGTGGCGGAGTGTCATAATAGTATTTAATATGCTCTTTAATATGGTGTGACTTAGAGCGCCTCGAAAGTCAATGAAGCAAAGTGACTTTTTTTGGTCCCCCTGTACATTTCGATTTCATTACATTTCATTTTACATTTACATTTCGAATTGCGTGACTGCATGAAAGCACGTGACAGCGGCGCAATGCTAGCTACAGATCCTACTCTTCTCCACTTATAAGTCGAGCCCTTGTTTATCGTTACCCGATGAAGGGTTTTACTGCGGTACACACGCGGTCCACTGCCCGAACGGGTCGGCTCTTCACTAAAACAGAATCTTGTACATTGGCTGGCCCCTGCAGCTCATTGTATAATATAGGCAACATCACATTCAATAATTCGCTACGATCCTTAATGAAGGTAGAATGCGTGGTCACACTCTAAGGCTGCGTTCATACTTTGCGGCAGCGTACGCTAGCGTTTCCAGCGTTCGGCAGCGGCAGTGACAACGAAAGGATAGATATCGATGTAGCGTTTGCCAGCATTATCAGCGTTTCATTACCGTACGCTGGTGTTCCACTAGCGAACGCTAACGTTCACCAGCGTCGCGAGAGCAAAGAAACTTAGGTCTCTTTCACTAGCGTGTGCCAGCGTCTACCAGCGTTTGCCAGCGGCGGGAGTGGGAAGTATGGGAGAATAGGAGAGTAGCGAACAGCGCGATTAGGCGTGAAAGCGTCGTACACCAAAATGGTTAAACTGCATAACGCATTGGTTGAATTGCATAACGCATAATTGCAAAGGATGAAACAGCGAGGGATCATTTAGGATCTTTTACAAAGATGGGCATGTGTCAGCCGTATATTCATCCCCAGAACGTTCATAAATTATGAAGCATTCCCAAAAGGAATTTCCAACAGAACAGCCCTCTATCTGCAGAAGAAGAGCATTCACAGTTCAGTTCAATTCCGGTGCGACAATGTAAAAAACATTCCGTTCCAACAGCCAAACCACAGAATTATGCAATTTAACCAATTTAGTGTACGGTATTGTCTAGTAGTGCGGTGCGGTTGCACACGCTGCAATTCCACGACGCTTAAAGGCACAGTTCGCGACCGCAAATTGCGGGAAACGGAACTCAAATAGGCACAAAAAAGTGCTAAGTATCTGATTAGCGGAGAAAAGCAGCAGAAAAAGCAGTCCGAAATGTTATAGAGAAAGATAACATAGTGGCTACTAGCTAGTAGCTAGCAGCCGGTGAGGGTCGGCATGGGCCTAAGGGGTGTCCATGGGCCTAATTAGTCAGCTTCTAGCGGAGTTCTTGCCGTTTTTCACATTTTGAAAGTAGCGCAGCCTCAAAAATCGCCTTCCGGATCGTCCGACACATTTGAGAGGTCATAGCCTTATTTTATCGCGGAATGTGCCTTTAATCCAGCTGTTCGCTACTCTGCTACGCCTATTCTCCTTCTCCCGCCGCTGGCATACGCTAGTGAAAAGTGGGTGAACGCTAGCATACGCCAGTATAACACCAGCGTAAGCTAGTAAAAC